AAAAAAAAAAAAAAACAAATAAATAAATAACAAATTACTAATGGGCTATTTCTATATAAAATCGTTTAAGTAGATCAGTTCAGAACGTTGGCTATATACGAATATACACTATAGGATACTATGCATATTACAATTAATATTATTATACTAATATAGTATTACTATACTGTTTAGTGTTTAGCATAATAATTGGAAGAAATATATGCAAAAATGATCTTTCTAAACTCGAAAACCGGTAATATACCTATATTCCATTATACGTTCTAACGATATTGTTTGGCCTATTTTTTTTTTTTAGCAACAGTCTAAAATTCCAAAAGATATATGGGTAGATAGAAATATATACAACTGTGGCAAATGGCACGGAAGTAAAATACTGCTCAACAGAGTGTTATTAATTTATAAAACTTCGACATCGAGATGAATAGTATACAACCAATCGGGTGGAGGGAGATAGGGATAGAGGATTCAAGTCTTCAAACACACCACAAAGCATTTTTTATCAGCTTAATATGAGGAATAATTCACCGTGAAACCGAAAGTATTTCTTTTTAATCCCTTTTTGAATCTACTACAGTAACGTCAAAATAATTAAATATTTAATGTAATATTGTACATCCGTGAGTGATTCTAACAAATTTAACCAACGTCGCAGTAAAATTGATACAAAAAAATCCAATTTAAATATTAACCCCCTCAATATAATATAAAATATATCACATTATAATATTATATACATTCGAGGTGTGTGCGTTATGAACCCTGAAAATGTCCTCACCCGCGGCTATATTTGTAGGTAGGTACTAGGTATGTATATTTTATATAACGTTATAGGATGTAAAATATTTTTAAAAACCAAGTCACTTTAAGGGTGAACGATGATGGAAAAAATAATTATTAAATATTCACTCTGTATATTATGATGTGAAACTTCTTGGATGTGCGTAGGGTAGGTCGGCAGGTGTAAACGATAAAGGTATGTTTTTAGGCTATCGTAAATCGCAAGCGCGTTTCTCCAGTTTCCAATGAGCCGCCACGTGCGGTATACAAATCTTGGTTACCACCGGTAGGCGACCACCTAAATAATACACATTAGTTTACCGCAAAAAACATAATATTTTTCATATTATCATTAATATTGCTTACCCGTACATTGACAACGAAAATAACGTCAACCACAACGAACGTACCTAATAAATAATATTATATTGCAAGTTATTATCGGTAAGATTTCAAATATTATTATACCATAATATGAATATTTTACCGCACGCGTCACTGTCTCCACGACGGAGGTATAGGTACGCCGCCGCGCGGTAATTACCACGTGGTACGCGTACGCGCGCCGACTGTAGTAGTGCTTGGCAGTTGGCACGTCGTCGTCGTCCCGGGTTTTCGACTGGCTTATCTGTTTAATTTGTTCGTACGCCGCCGCTACCCTCCTGATCAACGTGGGCGCGCGCGCGTAAGCCGTACTGAATACGCGTGTACAACCCGCCGCAGCCGCCGCCGCCGAGATAATACACGCGCGCACCTTTCCCCGCGGTTCGTCGCCGCCGCCGTCTGGTAATACAATATATAAGATCCGTTACGCGCATTCACTCGTCTCATAGGAACGACAAGTGCCCGCCGGCAAAACAGTTCTGTTCGTACGCCATAAACATAGTATATAGATAATATATAACGTTTGCGTTTTTCAAGTTAGTTTGGGTCGAGTTCGAAATCGAAACAACCGTTCATTTTGAATAAAAATTTGAGCAATTTTTTTTGTCGTAATTTTCCGTGGACGACGCGCACTCGCAAGCGCCCGAAGTGATTTTTTTTTCGTCGTAACAATAACAATATTGTAACCACGGTTCATACTGATTACTGATACTGTATAATATACGTACGTGTGTGTCGACGACGATTATCACACACATACGCGCACGCAGTGCAGCTCACGACGGACGCACGCACACACGCGGGCGCGCTCCGCGTACTATAGCACCGGCCGTAACGACTACTGCTGCTGCCGCTGCACTGCGACTACGACTACAACTGTTGCTGTACAGTACAAGCCGACACACTGGTGGTGCGACGACATTCGCTCGCCGGTAACGACCATCAGCGGGCATCAGCCGCAGCCGCCCACCTCCGCCGACGATCAGCCCGTCCGAACATGACGTCGCCATCAGCAGCTTCCAGCGCGCGCTGTTACGTGCCCAGATCCGTGATCGTGGCCGTCGCCGCCGCACTGGCGTCGTGCACCGACGCCGCCACAGTGATGACCAGAATGAAAGGTGAGACTCGTTTTTCGATCATCATTTTTCGTACGTCCGTCCGCGTCCTACCTCAACACGTGTTCGTCCGCCGCGACCGGTACGAAAAAAAAAATAGGCATAATACTGTATGCCTATTTATTTTTATAATATATAGGTACTTGTRAATTATAATAGGGAGTTACGTAGATACCTATGAAGTTATTGGCTGTACCATTATTCTGTCTTGCTCACCCCGATCGCCACTCGCGGGTCAGTCTTTGCTTGGACAACAACA